ATTTCCGCATTAAAATGTCTATGTCTCTAGTTTGATAACGAGTTGGCAAATATGTTCATTTTTTAAATTAGTATTCATACAGCACGTCCAAAGTTAGTTTTAAAACTTTTTCAAAAATTTAATCAGTTTTTTCCATTATTAGCTTAAAATAATATTTTGCTTTCAAATATGCTCAGAGTAGCGTTTAATGGAAAATGTCCATACGCGTTAGGTTTTATAATTAAAAGTTTAATTAAATTTAACAATAATATAAATTTAGTCAACGTAAAGTTTTGAATAATTTTTATTATTTTAAAATATCTAGTATATCCAATTTACATGTATGAAAATTGTTATGAGTTATAATTAATAATATTATCAATTTTGTTTAATTATGAAATTAATTAAAGTTGCTTTATGAATTATCTCTATCAATTGTTTACACAATATTTAATCAGTGTATAATTTATATGAAACGAAATCATTTCCGAAACAAGCTCTTTTCCGTACTTTTTGGCTTGAAGTTTCGATAAATTAAAATCTGAATAATTAAATTATTGAACTTTACTAGAACGTGGTTTTCCCTGGAGTGTGTAGTTTGTGCCAACACGCTTTCATGAAAAAGAACAGAGGAGGAAATCTGAATGGAAATTTGTAAGATATTTGCTATTTTTTTAAATTCTGGCAAAATAAATAGGCGAAACAATGAAATTCCGAAAAATCATGAATAAGAGTTGGTGATTCAAGTTTCTGAATCTAATTATATATACCGTTGTACTAGTTTTTGGCAAAAGTAGGTCCAATTGTTTTGGAGATAAAAAGCAAAGAGTGCAAAAATATGACAAATTATTAGATAACAGATTATCGAATTCGAATGATTCAAAACAACATTTTGCTTGTATTGGTGGCGTGAAACATTGATTATATTTTTGCTCATCAATGCTTAGTGGTCTGAAATGATTATTACAAATTATTACTCTTGATTCATATATATGTTGAGGTATTGACACATAGATGGCAGGTAGACTAGTAGGAAGGTAGACTAGTAGGAAGGTAGATTAGTAGGAAGGTAGACTAGTACACAGGTAGACTAGTAGGAAGATGGAAAAGGAAAGGAAAATAGACTAGAATAGAAGAAAGATGGATTAGACTAGTAGGAAGATGGACTAGAAAAGAAGGAAGATTGACTCGACTATCAGGAAGATGGACTAGACTAGCAGAAGGATAGACTAGACTAGCAGAATGATGGACTAGACTAGTAGGAAGGTAGATAGACCAGTAGGAAGATAGACCAGAAGGAAGATAGACAAGTAGACAGGTTGACAGGAGAAGTAAAACAGTAAAATAGTAGTACGTTAAACCAGTGGACAGATAGGCAGATACAAAAGTATACAAGTTGACACTTAGACAAGTAGTCACTTGAACAGGTGAACAAGTAGACTATTAGCCAACAAAATCATAAACAAATCAAACATTTATCGATTAGATCAGGAAGTTCATTCCATTTTTACATCATAATACAATTAAGAGATAGAGAAATTTCCACAGAGATTCCATAAATCTGCCATTTATTAGATTTCAATTTGATCCAAGACCTTTGTGAAAAAAAATTGATATATCGCTTTCACAAAGGATCACGATTACGCTTCTGTTGGTTCGTAGCGATATCCAATTTCAATTATCAAGCGACGCGACGGTCAACCCGGTTGGAGCAAACAAGTACACCGAACTACGGTTAGTAGGAAATCTGGATGAAATATTACTAAATTGAATAATAATAGTAATAATACTATAGTAAATTATGAAAATTTTTAAAACTCTAAAAAAAACATGATAGGTTACAAAAATAGTTTTGTCATGACTCATGATCCCCACTTGGTTTGATCATCCTCATACCAAGTACTCACACTTAGATTGTACTCAGATATTTGCGACTGGTTAGGACGACATCACAAAAAGAAGCTTACGCCAAAATCCATATGCTTCTAATATTTTTTTTATCCCAATTCCAATTTGAATGAAATTTCCCCCAGCTATCCCTTTATATTCTACGGCAACGAGAAACGCATACGGCTATTGTGATCAAAACGTTTATAATTAATTACAAACTCGCGTTGCATTATGCAAGCAAATGATAATAATTTAATACAACTGATTACACAGTCGAACGCATTGATTTTGAATATACGTTTCCCTGTTTGTATTACGAGAAATTATTTGCTAGCTAACGAAGCCAGGATGGAATATGTACGACTTGAGCACTGACCAAAATAATTGATAGGGGGTAGGAAAAATATGAGAATTTGGGGTTTGGTCGATAACC